ATTACTATTTTATATACATACATATATAATAAACGTTTATATCCAAAATACCTGCTGTGATAATTTAGTTATCCCATTTTCATTTTTTGACAGTTCCTCTTGTATATTAATTTTTTTATTCTGTTGAAATTCTTTTAACTAGAAAAAACAAAATAAAAGAAAAAAAAGATAATGTTTGTAAAAGTAGAACGTTTAAAAAAATGAAATGACTCATCATATTGCTAAAGTCCTTGTCATTAAATATTAGATTAAATAAAACTGTAATAAAACCATTTTGACGTTGTCTTTCCTTTACTGGAACTATTTTTATAGAAGAAAATTTTTTGTGACATTTGTAATAAATGATATATCATATGTTTAACATTTTGATATAGAAAAAGAATGAATAATAAAATATCCAAAGTTATTCAATACGTTAAATAACATTAATGAGATATAAATGTTTGAATAAAATGTTACAATGTTTAATCTAATATTATTTTTTGGTATTTTTATTTATTACCTTTTTTCTAGCAGCTAGTAGTTTCTCCGATTTACTTAAATTCATTGTATTATTTGTTATGCACTGGAAGATTTAATCTAATATATCAAACTATGAAAAACTTTTACATCATTTTACTGAAAAACATAAGTATATATTGTAGTCGTGAAGGTTATGAAATGTCTACGTGCCAATTGTGCCATATTGCTATAGCTGTGTCATTAAATATATCCAATTAAATCCAATTACAGATATTTGAATAATTTATCTTATTTTAGAACAAAATAAAATTGGTATTGTTATTAAATATTGTATCATTGATAAAATTTGGCAAATTCATTAGAAATAATATTTTAATTAATTGCTTAGAAAAATTATTTTTGGACAAATTTGAAAATACATCTATTTCGACTAGATACAAGATGGTGTTTTTGGATCTAAATCTTATGAAACAGATAGTTTATGGTGTATAGCAGTCGAAAAATGCGGCAAACTGGATTTTATCTCTTTTTTGCCACTCCTTGCATTAATTTGCAAGAAAGTAAGAAATAATTTTTAAATAATTATTACAATTTTCCGTTCTTTCTTTTTATTATAGAAAATTCTATAAATTTAAATTAGAAAAAAAAATAACTACATCTACAAGGTTAATTAGTTATAAAGTTTATATGTAGGAATGAAAAATGTTTGTTAAGATAAGTGATTGAATGAGTTTCAAAAATTAGAATTGCAATTTATGTATAAAGAAAATGACACATTATTTCTTACTTTTAATAATTGATTACATCACCCATTAGTATATTTTATTAACATTTTTTTATAAAAAATTTGTTAATCGGTGTTATGATAATAAACTATAGGTTAAGCGAAGGTATAGTCCTATTAAAGTGATTTTAAACAAAGTTTAATCATGGATAAAGTGCCAGATATACCAACTAACATTAATTTAGATGATCCAAGGTTTCGTATTAGACCATATCAACAAATTATAGCTTCTTGTACAGGTGCACTTATAACTTCTGTATTTGGTAAGTGAACATTTAATAAATAACAATTGTTAATTATTTTTGAAAACAATATTTTGTATATAATTGAATAATAGTTATTAAATGTTTTTTGTTGCATTTTTATTTTGATTAGATAAATTGGATCTATCTAAGCATATTAAAGTAAACTTACCATATTTTTTTCAGTTACACCATTAGATGTTGTTAAAACACGTTTACAAGCTCAACAAAAAGCTACACTTTCTAACAAATGTTTCCTATATTGTAATGGATTAATGGACCATTTATGTCAATGTATTAATGGAAAAAGTCCTAATGAAAAATTTACCGGCACTGTGGTATAAATAATTAATTGAATCGTATTAAATCTTAACCATGTATGTAAACTTCAATAGTTTCTTAACATGGGTATTAATGTTTTATTTATAGGATGCTTTTATAAAAATAAGTAAAAGAGAAGGAATTAGTTCTTTATGGAGTGGTTTGAGTCCAACTCTTGTATTAGCAGTACCTGCAACCGTAGTATATTTTGTATCATACGAGCAATTGAAGATATATTTTAAAGTAATTGAAAAACGTTATAAATTGATTATGTTTGTTTATATATATTTAAATAATGATTGATATTTTTGTAAGCTTGGCATTTGTAGGATAAATATAATAGAAATTTGAAACAAAATGTAAGTAATGTAGAACAGCCTTTTTGGATACCTATGTTAGCTGGAGGCACAGCACGCATTTGGGCAGCAGTTTTAGTTAGTCCATTAGAATTAATCAGAACTAAAATGCAATCGCAGAAATTAAGCTATGCAGGTAATGAGAAAGTAACATATATATTTGTATATAATAATAAAATATTATTAGCACAATTACTTATTTTTTATATCTACAGAAATGACTGAAGCATTAAAAATACTTATTAGACACAGTGGTGTTTCTGGCCTATGGATGGGATTAGGATCAACGCTTTTTCGAGATGTACCTTTTAGTGCTATTTATTGGTTTCATTATGAAACTATAAAACGAATATTCCGAGAGTCATCACAAACTTTTACTTTTAATCTTGCTGCAGGAGCAACGGCAGGATCTGTAAGTTTAAATTTATTATTACTTCTAATTAAAAATAAATAACACATAATTACGTAAATTAATTATCTTTTTCTCTTTATATTTAAAGATAGCTGCATTATTCACTCTACCATTTGATGTAGTAAAAACACACAGACAAATAGAAATGGGTGAGAAGGAAATATATTCAGGTATGTGCTGAATATTTAAGAAAAAAGTATAACTATTTTCTTGTATATACAGCAAACAAAAAAAGTAAAACTTTTTTTTAAATATACAGCACACAAAAAAGGTACAACTTTTTTTAAAAATATACAGCATTCATCTAAAGTAATTAATATAATTGTGATTACAGATAAACCTAGTCGTAGTAGGAGTACTACAATGACTGTAATAAAAAAAATTTATAATCAGAATGGTATAAAAGGTTTGTATACCGGTTTAATTCCACGTTTAATAAAAGTTGCACCAGCTTGTGCTATAATGATTGCAACTTTTGAACATGCAAAACGATTTTTCCACATACATAATGCTAACAAAGTACTTGAATTTAAGCATGATGTATATTTAATACAGAATGAACGTAATAGTACCAAATGACATATGTAGTATCAGTTATGATACTAAATTGTATATATAACTTAAGTTAAAATCATTATTTCCTATTCATATTCTATATTTACTGAATATATTAATGTTTGGAAATATAGAAATCTAAAACAGTATTTAATGTGTAATTAATATGAACCTTGATCGACACTCTCATAATATTTTCATATTAACAAAACTATTGCCTCTTAGAAAAGATATACAAACAAATATTTTTAATAAAGCTTAAGCATATATATTTTAATAATAAATAAAATTATTTTGAATGCTAGTCTCTATCATATTATAAAAAAGATTTATAATTTAATTATTACAAGTATGAATGAGATTTTTATTATTATTATTATTGTTA